AGCAGGAATACACCTCTTCAGCACAGCATGAAAGGAAAGGAAAGCATTCTGCATTTCACAGGAAGCTATAGTAAATCATTACCTTTGGGCAACAAGAAATCATGCCTAACAAGTGTTTCATGAGCTGGGAAACAGAGTTAGGAATGGCAAGGAGCATTAGACCCTGTCTGCAGATGAGGAAGCAGGCAAGAGGAGCTGTGCTACCAGCTCAAGGGCACCTAGAGCTCGGAAGGCTCCCCTTCCACATCTAAGGAGCTGGAACTGGCATCCTTCACCTCCAAGAATGAGATTAGCTTAGATGCAGCTACTCCAAATTGTATGTAATCACTTTGTTCTGTTTCAGAAATTCAAAACATGACAGGAAATAAAGACAAAGTTCTCAGATTTAAAGCAAAACAAAAAGGAATACACATACATTAAACAGAACTGATGTCCTCTTCTCATTTTTGTTATGTTTCATATTGTTTTTTAAAGTAAGCCTCGATTACAGATCTCTAGCTGAAACCAGCTGCTGGATTAAAGTGCAGTCAAAGATTAAGACTTCTTGTTTCATCAAAATCCAGAAGAACAAATTGAATTCAAAATCTGGAAAACCACACGTTACAAGAGCACATTCCCCATTGCACAGGCAACTAAATTTCTCTGTAAATAATAATAATATGTGACAAGGGATGGGAAAGATTCCCTAAGAAGAGGCCTGCAATGAAAAAAGAAAGAAAAGTCAAGGAAAAAGAAAAAACAAACAAACAAAAAAAACCCCAACAAATATACAATCAAAGTGAATGGAGAAAAAAAACCACTTTTTTTTCTGACATAAACCAGTCATCCAAAACCTATTGTCAAGACCAGCTGAAGGCAAATTCTCCCCACGTCCAGCCAGGCTGATTTATTTGTTTTCTCCTGCTTTCTTACTTTCTCTCAAAGTTGGGACTAGAAACTTTGAGAAGGATAGTTGCAAATGAAAGTAACACCACCTCATGTCTGCTGGGAAGCAGCATTTTAAACCAGTCATAGGAGATCAAAGGATGTACAAGATGACTCATGCTATTTTAAGTGTGCATCTACAGCTGGGAAGTAAAGAAATATTAACAGCAATCTTGCCACACCTTTTTTTTCCCCTCCCCTTCCTGGCAGCTTCAGACAAACAAGGAATAAAATGGAAGTGGCAGCAAATTGAAGAAACACTGGTGTTTCAGCTAGACTAATATCTATTCCAAGAAGTGACAGCTGTGCACAATAATGCACCCTTTGATGGGAATTAAAAAAAAAAAAAATTCACAAACCTAAAAATTATTTGCCATGAAGCCAAGAACCTGGGAACAGGGGGAATCAATACTACAGAAAGTATAAGGATTAATCAACATTTATTAAAAAGCCAGAAAGAAGAAATCAGAGTTTCAGAGTACATTGATTCTCTCTCACATATATAAAAATCCCCAAAAATATATGTATGAAAAAGTATACATTTTGCAAGTTTTCACCCATGATTGGAAAAATAATCAAAAGTCACAGCTTTCATCAGCAGAGGCAACATGAGATAGGAGCAGATCTTCGTGACAAAAAGAGGCAGCAGTTCATGCCAGACCAAGTTAAGTATTCACAAGGCTTTTTCATTGTGTCTTTCCTTTCCAGCATTTAAATTTCCACTCTGGCTAAAAATATCTTCCCTGTCATTCCTTCAGCTCTCTGCTATTCTCCTCCTTCCAGCTCACGCAGCCATAGAAAGAGACACAGCACAACCAGGAGAAAAGGAGCAAGGGGAAGAAGGGAGCACATGGCATTAAATCCCTTGTCTACCAGGGACCAGAAGTAGAATGGCAGAGTTTTAAAAGCAGGCTCTGGGCTAAACTTCTGACACTCCCAGAGGCTGCAGACCTCCCTATGTCTCATTTACCCCCCTGAAACACAAAAAGTCCCTCAAAAAGACACTGAAAAAATCCCATGATTGGCAGGATTAGTAAAAGAGAGATTGAATAATATTGCAAATTGAATCAATTAAGTTATCTAGTTTTCCATAAAACCAGATTTTTTCTGCCTAATTTCAGCCTAGTACTTCAGAAGGAAATTTGAAAAAGAAGAGAGACGTACACACACTGTTTTGCCACTGTAAATACGTTCACCTCCTCAGCAAACTCTTGCCAGAGATGTTTAGCATCAGGCCTATTTTAAAAAATCGCAGTCAAAACTCTGATTAAAGAGATTACGGGATTACACTTGCTTTACAGATAACAGCGGTTTGTTCCTTCCACAGAAATTAATAATAATTCACATAGTAAATGCATCAAGGTCATAAAGGGCTGTAGGACCTTCAAATCAAGTGACATAGTTAGAAACCTAACTCTAAACATACATAGCCCATCTTAATGACGGGACAAATGCTGCTCGAGGTAATCAGATTTAAATTGCCGTGGCCACATTCAAGACCTCTCAGCTGTGCCCTTCAACATACCCTTCCACCTCCCTCAAAATTTTAGGTTCCCAAATGTATGGAAACAGCTTTCCCATCAGAACCGGCTTCATTCAGCAAATAGTTTTCACTGACAAGCATGCCTTCATTAGCCTGAGCTCGTGGCTGTGCAGGCAGGGCTATGCAGCTTTCAGACCGGTGACCGCTCTAGCGAGTGGGGAGGCAGAAGGCTGCCCACTGGGCTCACCCTTTGGGTTGCGATCACTGGCACGGGGGCCAGGACCGACCCCCGCCCCGCACAGGAACAGCCATCAGCCCTGAGAAAAGAAAATGGCACGTATGCCAACGACGCGGGTGCTGCGGGTCCCTGGGGGGCCCGTGGAGCCAAGGCCGGCCAGCAGCCGCACCCAGCAGTTGTGCGGACAGAAGGCCTGCCACGCTTTCTTTCATGCTCATTTTAATTAAAGAGAAGGGCTTGCGCACCAAAGTACAGCTCTAGCTCCAAAACCTCCCCGGAGCCTGCAGTTGTTTGGAGCCAGGGTTTTGCTCCGGAGCCGTATGTTTTGTGCTAACTTGCTGCACTTCTGGAAGCGTAATTTGAATAGCATCATAAATCCTGTAAAAATACGAAGGTGGACAGGTGTCTGCAGGCTTTCCCGAGAGCACGTGCTGCTGTGACAGGAAAAGCAAAGCCAAAAAAATGCCCCACAGGCTGCCCTGTTCCCTTTCCCTTCCAGCCAGCGCTCCTCTTGCTCACCGCCCCGAAGCCCTTTCTAAAGCTACCCTGAACAACTAACACGAAGCTGACAGTATCGGGTATCTCTGACAGCACGGGGTCACCCTGACCAGTGTTTTCCAAAAAGCCCCCTAATTTGAGGTATCCCACAGGACCGAGTGCCGAGCACCCGGCATCTCACTTGAGAGCAACAGGAGCTGCGCTGGAGACGGCCACTCCTGGGAAAACCCGATCTGAGCTGTTTCCCCCCGGGCCCCGCCGCAGCCGGAGCTCCCGGCCGCTGTCCTCGCAGCAGACAAAGCCCGGCCCAGCCAGCTCTCCCTCACGCAGGTCGCGGGCTTTCCCCGTATCGGCCACGGGCGATCTCCACGGGCAGCCGCGGCAGGGGGGGGCCCCCGCGGGGGGGGCACCGC